CGTGGAGTATGGTCAAGGTTAAGCTCCATCCCATTTACAAATAGCTGCCACTGTTAGCAAACAGCCTCGACAAACTATTTCTAAACATTTCTAACCAACATCTAGAGTGCTCCAGCTATGTGCTATGCCTTCCAAGAAGTGGAGCATTGAATTGAGATCAGCTATGGAAGTGCCAGGTTAATTGAATTTCAACTCTATTTCTGGAGTAAAAATCACTTTCAAAAAGCCGGTATAATCGGAAACTCATTCGAAAAGCGGATGCTTTCAAATGCTAATCAATGTATTTGTTGACCGATTCCTGCTTTTACATTTTTGTACACAAAGACTAAACCAAGAACGTTTAAGCAACCTTCTATGATATAATCACATTCATATAAGTGCGAACTATGAACATATACCGTTTTGAAGCAAAAGATTATTTGTAGGTAATTTTATCTGTTGGTCTTTCCAGAAGAATGAAGAATTGTTCAACAATTTGATGAGCTCTCACGTACATCTCCTCCTATTACAGAGGAAAATGCTTACAAAATGCTTTAAGTAAAGCCAAAAATGAAAAAGACGGTGCAGTTACTAGGAAACACTGGGCTTTCTAACAAAATACTCACTACCTCTCACAATCCGTTTAATACTTTTTGTCTAACAAGAGGATGAGAATCTCTTGCGAATCTACTTAAAGAGTAAGCTTTTCAGTCTAAGGTAATATAGGTTGCGGATGTGCGTAATGCGTATGGCTACTTTCCACGTGATGGCCAGCAATTTTTTATTTTGGAAGGTGAACCACCTACTTTTGACTCAACATACTGAGAAATAGGATTCTTCGCATTCATAATTGCGCCGATCTCGGGTGAAGTTCTAACAAAAAAATTTGCAAAGGCCTAGAGAATCGTCTGAGGAAACCAGGCTTTGAATTTCACACACTTTACACAAATAGTAGGAAAGCAAACTTCGAATCTTGTACACTTCTTAAGCGTCCTAAGTTGGCTTTTTGAGGCTTTTTGTGATTTGAATGAAATCATCACTTTGACTGCAACATGAATCAGACGAAAGCAGTGGTCTTACATTTCGCTTCTCAACAACTTCCTGTTTACGGCTACGACCATATGAATATAAAGTTTGTTTGGATCATAATCTAATATTAGGTGAACCCAACTCCTTTCACTTTTATATGTTCATTTATTCATTTCCTTCAGAAAAAGTGATTTCATGAA